CTTGTGTAGCTCACAGTGAAAAAGAATGCGACAATGAATATATGTATGTTCATGTATAACTGAAAAATTGTGCTCTACGCTGGAAATCGACACAACATTGTAAACTGACTATAACTCAGTAAAAATAATGTTTAAAAAAAAGATAAGAATTATAACCTGATTCTCCCCAGAAACCACACAAGCAGAGAGAGCAGAGTGAAAAATTTAAAGTGCTGAGAAAACAAACACCAACATGGAATTCTGCACCCTGCAAAATTATATTTCAAAGTGGAAGAAAATAAAGACTTTCTCACATAAAAATTGAGGGAATTTGTTGCCAGCAGACATGCCTTCTTCAGAGAGGAGGAATATGATATAGGTCAGAAACTTGGACCCACTTAATGAAAAGAGGAGAAGGAATAAGTGAAGGTAAAATAAAAACTCTTATTTTTCTTATTCCTAATTGGTCTAACATGTAACAGTTTGTTCAAAACAACAACAACAATGTATTTAACTATGTACACATATACATGCCTATGTATGTTTATGAGTAAGTGAAATAAATAACAGCAATGATACCAGAGACAAGACAGAGGACTGAGGAGCAGTTTATTACAAGGTACTTGCACTGCCCACGAAGCAGTACAGTATTACGTCGGCCCTCCAAATCCATGGGCTTTGCCTCTGTGGATTCAAAAAACTGCAGATCAAAATATTCAGGAGAAAAAAATTCTCAAAGTGCCAAAATGAGTTTGCTGCAAAGGAAACCATTTACATAGCATTTACATGATGTTTACAACTATTTACATAGCATTTACATTGTACTAGGTATTATAAGTAATCTAGAGATGATTTATAGTATAGGAGAGAATGTGCCTAGGTTAAATGCAAACACCATGCTTTTTTAATAAAAGATGAACATCCATAAATTTCAGTATCTGTGGGGGTCCTGGAAAAAATCCTCCATGGGTACCGAGGGACGACTGTATTTGGAAGCGGACTTGGATTACTTGTAGATGTATATTGCAAACTCTAGAGCTACCACTAAAATAAAAGTAAAAAGGAAGTTTAATTGATATGCTAAGGAAGGAGAAAAAAACAGAATCATATAAAGTGCCCAGTTATAACTACAAAAGGGAGAAAAAGAGTGGAAGACAAAATAGGAACACAGAACAAGGGCAACAAATAAAACCCAGCAATAAATACGGTAGATATTAATCCAACTGTACCAATAATCACTTTAAATGCCATGGTCTAAATAGGCCAGTTAAGACAGCAATTGTCGAAGTGGATCAAGAAACAAGACCGAATTATATGTTGTCGACAAGAAACCCACTTTAAATATAAAGACACATATAGATCAAAATAAAGGGATGTAGAAAGATTTACCATACTAACACTAATCGAAAGAAAGTAGGATTTGCTATATCCACTCCTAGCAGATCAGATTTCAGAGCAAGAAAAGTTATCAGGGATAAAGAATGGCACTACATAATGATAATGGGGTCAATGTTTCAAGAAGACATAACAATCCTTAATATGTATGCACCAAACAACAGAGCATCAAAATATGTGAGGCAAAAACTGATAGAACTGCAAGGAGAAATAGATGAATCCACTATTGTAACTGGAGACTTCAGCACACCTCTATCAGAAATGGACAGATCCAGCAGGTAGAAAACAGTAAGGACTGGGGTAAACTCAACAACACCAACGAAAATGGATATAATGGACAACTATAGACTACTTCATGCAGCAACAGCAGAAAATGCATTCTTCTCAAGCTCATGTGCAACATTTACCAAGACAGATCACACTCCGGGCCATAAAACACATCTTAACAAATTTAAAAGAATAGAAGTCATATAATGTCTGCTCTCAGATCACAATGGAATTAAACCAGAAATCAGCAACAGAAAGATAGTTGTAAAATATCCAAATACTTGGAGATTAAATGACACACTTCTAAATAGCATATGGGATCAAAGAAGAAGACTCAAAAGAAATTTCTGAATATTTCGAACAAAATAAAAACGAAAACACAACCTATCACAATTTGTGGGATGCAGTGAAAGCAGTGCTTAAAGGGAGATCTATAGGATTGAATGCATAAATTAGTAAAGAAGAAAGATCAAAAATCAATAAACTAAGCTTCTACCTTAGGAAGCTAGAAAAAGAAGAGTAAATTCAATCCAAACTAAACAGAAGAGAAAAATAAAAATTAGAGCAGAAATCAATAAACTGAAAACAGGAAACCATTAGAGAAAACCCACAAAACCAGAAGTTGGTTCCCTGAAATGATCAATTAAAATCCATAAGCCTCTAGCCAGACTAATTAAAATTTACTAGCCCCTGGGAGGGGACCCAGATGTTTGCCTCGTATCGATAATCAATGAGCAACTACTCATGCCAGACAGGTAGACAAAAACATTAACATCATTTCCTTTCTTTCATCCATTTGATCAATTTTTTTAAAAAACCACTTACTACTGATGAGTATCTACTATGTGCCGGACACCATTTTAAATATTTGGGATATATCAGTGAACAACAAACATAACATATAAGTAAATTGTATGGTGCATTAGAAGGTGTTCAGTGGAGAATAACGGAGAGCAGGTTAAGGAGAGGATTAAGAGTTATGAGTATTTCTTACTTTGTTATGAATGTTTGTGTGTGTTATACATTTACTATATACACGGTATATATATATATATATATATATATATATAGTATATATATATATATATATATATATATATATATATATATAGCACACTTTACTTTTATTTTCTTCCCTCTCTTACCCCCTTATCATCTAACATAAGATGTACTGAGAAGAGTTAAGTTTATATCACAGTAAGTTACAGAGTATCAAGGAAAAGAGCAAACACCACCCAAGGACTTTGTATCCTCTTCTGGGGAGAGGGGTGGCACATTTTGGTTATATGTAGGATAACTGGCTTGTGTTAGGAGGAAGTATGACTTTGTTGTTGTCTTTATTTGGAGATTTAAGTATGGTTTGAGGAAATGTATATGGATGCCAAGTTGACAAGGGATAAACCATGATGGTTAGTTTCATGTGTCAACTTGGCTAGGCCATGGTACCCAGTTATTCAATCAAACACTGATCTTCATGTTCCTGTGAAAGTATTTTGTAGATGTGATTAACAGCTACCATAAGCTGACTTTCAAGAAAGGAGGTTATACTCTATAATCTGAGTGGTCCTCATCTAATCAGCTGAAAGGCCTTAAGAGCAGAACTGAGGTTCCCCTGAAGAAGAAGAAATTCCATCTGTGCACTTCAGTATCAGCTCCTCCCAAGAGTTCCTAGGGAGCTGCTCTACCTATTCTGGACTTGCCCAGCCAGCCCCCAACAATCACATAAGCCGATTCCCTGCAATAAATCTCTTAATCTACAAATATCCGACTGGTTCTATTTCTCTGGTAAAACCCTGACTGATACAAGTAACCACATAGAGGAAATGACATTTGAGCGAAGACTTGCAGTTGGAGGAGGAGTTGCCACATAGACATCTGTGAGAAGTGCAAGCCTGGTGTGTAGGAGGAACAGCAAGGAGTGGCTGGATAAGAGTGAGCAAAGTGGAGAGCAGTAGGAAGGGAGGTAACTTCATGAACCAAAAGAAGTAGCAGGGACAGGGAAAGTGCACACTGGGAGCTGAAAGATCTCCTTTATTATTCTTTCTAATCATAGGATGAGCCCACATCATGACAAAAACAATGCTGCCCATCATCCCAGTGTCTCTCCTTCTCTAACATGACCCAAATGAATGCTCCCAGTCCCACTGCTGGCAGAGGCTTTTGGCTGCTACAAGGAAATCTGCAGTCAACTCATTTGACATTGGGAGCACATATGCAGAGCTTCCACTGTGAGCTACACCAAGCAGGGAGTTCTTCTCTTATGGGTATGGGAGCCAGGAGGCAGGTCAGAAAGCTACCTGTCATCTGAACATGGATCAAGAATTGACTGGCCACCACTAGGCAGAGAGACACAGCTAACATTGTCATCTTGGAATAAGATGGAAGTTTGCTGAATAGAAGATGCAATGCTCTTAATTGGTCCTACCCTGGTCTAGTTGAAAAAATTAAGACCAGCCACTATTATCTCCAAAGGGAGATAATAATCACTTAGATGTAGAACCACCACAGATGAATAATAGTAATTTGGGTGCAGTAAGCTTGGTCAAACACCTTGTCCAGATCTCCCAGCCTCTCACCTGTCCCAGCAAAGGGGAGAATATCACTGCTACGAGTTTTCCCTACGATAAAAGTTATTGTAACAACAAGAATTTAAGTATATTTATTAACCTTGAAAGATGTTCATAATTATATAAAATAAAGAAAAGGCAATAAACCACCTTAAATGTACACATTGATTCTTAGATACATCTCAATTTCATGAACATGTGAAAAAATGTATTTCTTAGGCATTAGGAAACAGAATATCTCTTACATACAAAGAAAAGTTCAGGTGTATCTATGAACCACTATGCTGTACACCAGAAACTAACACAACACTGTAAACCAACTATACTTGATTAAAAAAAAGAGTTAGGGAAGGCACACAAAAATTATACCAATGCTATCTGGTTCGTGGGATTCCAGGTGATTTTTATTTTCTTCTTTTTGTTTCCTGTGTCTTCTTGTCCTATAATAGTATGTATTGCTCAAATAACAAACATTGTTTATGGTTTATAAGTAAAATCACCTTCACGTATGTAACTCCCTCCCTACTCCTTCAAAATGTCAACAGACACCTGAAATCTCAACCAATTTGGAATAGAGCTGTTTGTAGTCCCTTTTACATATGGGGCAGTACAAAGCTGGCAGGGGCTAGGTCACTTACCCGAAGTCCCACATCATGGTGGGAAGCCCAGCCAGGACAAGAATCTGGGATCCTGAAGGTCCCCTCCAAGCCAGCACACCTGCTTTGTGCCATGTTCTCAGCCCACGGACCTCAAGGAAGTGAGGTTTAAGTTGAGCTACACCCTCGTCCTTACCTCGGCCAGGCGGGAGTGCTTGTGGACATTCTCGCCTTTTTGTACGCTGGGAGCCAGCTGCTGCAGGACGCCCCTGCTGCTTGTCAGTGCTCTGGTCAGCCGAGCAAACTTCCCCCAGCCTGGAGTATGTAGAAGACAGAAGAGACAGGTTCAGCCAGGTCCTGAAGGCTCATGGACATTCACATCACAAGCTACCCTATCAGAAGCAGACCCCCTCCCCCTACATTATCCTCCTGTGCATCCATGAGTCACTCAGCATCTTTGCAATCAAGACTCGCTGCTCAAAAGAGCAACAAGACACGCTCAAATCTGTGCGGCCATGTACTTTTCTCTCGCACTTTCACTTTATGCTAATCATACCTTTGGGAAGTAGGCAAGGAAGGTTTTAGCACTGCTTTACAAATAGGGAAACTGAGGCACAGAGGTGCATAGACAGCTAGTGAGTCTAGAACCCAGCCTGCCAGATAATACCAGGCAATCAAGATGTCTCTCTGACTCTGTGGCTCAGGCAGTTCTCAAACCACACATCGTCTGATCTAGGAGAGACCAAGCTGGTTCTGGGTTTTAAATGACTAGATAAGCTAGTCAAATGGCCATTCCAGGCATTCTCCAAAGCTGACGAATAAGAAATGAATTTAATCCCTGAGTAGGTGGGGGAAAAATACTGGCAGATTTTAGTCTGCTCTGGGATGGGGGAAGCACGGTTGGTGGCAGGTAGGCTCCCTGAAAACAAGAAACTCAAGAAGCCTAGTACTGAACTAACAAATCTGGATACAAGTCCCCTCTCTGCCTCCAGTGTGCTTGTGATCACCAACAAGTTGTTTACATTGTCTGGCCTCATTGATCTCATCTGTAAAGTGGAAATTAAAATGCCTAAATGCTGGGTGCCTTTTCCCAGTAAAACAAAGTGGCAAAGTTGAATGGGCTCTGAGTAGTGAGCTAAAGCCAAAGCTGTCTTGAGGCCTCCTTGGCCCTCTGGACTAGTTCCTCCAGGGAAAGTAAAACACTGGTCTTTTTCTAACCTAGCCCACTCTATACCACAAAATCTATGATGTAAGAGTGATCTTTACTGAGAATTTAAAATGTAGGAGTGATCTTTTAAAGATCTTCAAAGACTATTGTCTATTCAAATATCCAATAACCTATCTGCATCAAGGTTACGTGACCATGGCAACTGTCTCCCGAGACCCCTGAAAGTCAGCAGGGATGCTCCAAGCCGAGTTTGGGGTTGAGAGTTTCCAAAGACCTGGATGTGGGGTGGACAGCAAAAAACCAGAGCATGCAACCATTTTTACATGATAGCTCAAAGCAGGACTAAGCAATTTTATTTTTTTCCTTTTGAGTTTAGAAGTATTCAGCTGCCTTGCAATAGAAATCTCATTTACCAAATTTTCCCCGGGAGCACCTTTTCGAGACAGACCAAGAATCCGAAGGACAATGGAGTCAAGCAGAAGACTGGCCCGTTTTTTTTTTTTTTCTCCTTTTTGCACAACCTTTAAGAATCATGATCTGTATAAATTTTGGTCAACATAGCAAGAAGAGTAAATCAGTTCTTTTTTATCTCATCCCAGAACTTATGGGCTTTAATAAAAGATAGTAGCTTTCCCACCCATCGTGATGCGACTAAGCAGAGAAATGGGGCCTGCGGGAGTCAGCTTGAAAAGAGGCACACAGTGGTCAGGCTGCTGGGGGTCTCACTGATGTTAACAGGAGGGGACAGTGCAGACTCTCCAGGGGTCTTTGACATCTTTTCCAAATGGGCCATTTATGAAAGTGCTCACTGGAATGCTTGTGTGAACTGTGGACTAGAATTTTTTGAAGTCTCTTTCATAGTCAGGCTCAAAACAAAGCTGGAATTGAATTCTGTAAAGTTTTCCAAGAGAAGCAGAAAGTACATTTTCAAATGGAGAGAACACACACAAACATCAGCAAGGGCTCTGCACCCCACATCCCATTCTATTCACCCACCACCATCACCACCACCACCACGACCTATACTCTGGGACCTATAAAGGGAACAGGCAGACAACTCTGACTCTGCCTGGCAGGGCCCAAGGCCCTGGTCAATCAGATAACATAGCACTGAAGGGAAAAAAAAGAAAAGAAAAGATCCCTGGACCTCAGGGCATTTCCCCATGCTCAGGCTAGCCCCTTGCTCTAGCCCTGATTCTGCTTCCAAGGATGTAGCTCTTAAAGAAGCTGGTTCCCAGCTGGCTGAGTGAAGGGCACAGGAAGGTGAGTTAGATGGGGAGACAGAGAGGCAGTGTGACATCCTCCATCACATCCCTACCAGGATGGGCAGGCTCTGCGTAATTTGCAGGAATGAAGTAAGTTCTCTCCCAAGTTTCACCCTCACATTGTCCTTTCTGGACTATAGACACTTTATCATCAGAATCATGCTGAGCCAGATAAAAGAACTTCATTCATTCATATATTAATTCTATAAACATAACTACTGTATACCAGGCACAGTGCTAAGTACTGGGGCTACTAAGATGAATAAGACACAGACTCCAGCCTTAAAGATCATGCCCTCTAGTAGGGAAGACTGACAAATAAATAAAAAGCCATGATACAGTAAGTTAAATTCTATAACAGAGAATGCATACAGAATGCTGTGGCCAATACTGTCCAGGGAAGGCATATCTAATCCAGGCTGGGCAGTCAGGGAAGGCTTCCCAGAGGAGGTGACACTAGAGCAAACTTCTTAAAAATGAGCAGACATTAGCTGAACTCAGAAAGGAAAAGACAGACATTCCATGCCAAAGGAACAGCACTTACAAAGCCAGAAAATCATAGAATAGGGTAATATGTCAGTGAAGAGTAAGATGTTCTAAATGGCCAGATGAATGAGGTATGGCCTGTACAGGGGAGGATGCAGACAGTAGCCTGAAGTGATGCTAAGGAGGTCGTCAAGAGCCAGATCAAGAAGAACTTAGGTGGTAAGAACCTAGACAGCAAGTTAAGAAATTTGAACTTCAACCTGAAACCTGGAAGGAATCCAATGAAGGAATTTAAATATGGTTGGGGCATTTTAGGACAGAACGGCAGTGTGGATAGCAGACGAAAAAAGGTGGTGGTTGGGGCAGGGGTGTGGGGGGTAGTTGGTTAACAGAAGGCCAGTCAGAATCCCAGGCAAGACACCATGAGCGCCTGGACCAGTGCTGTGGCCGGAGCCAGGCAGCAAAGGGAGACCTGAGAACAGTTGCAGAGGTAGAATCAATGGCTGCAGAGGGGAAGAAGAGGCAATGGAGGTGGCCTCTGGGTCCCCGGTTTGGGTGGCTGGGGTGACAGCCATGCAGTGAGATTAAGAACATAGGAAGAGAAGCAAATGGGTTTGGTGGAAGGTAGACCAACAATGCCTCTTATAGCAGAGCCATCAGGAGACACCTTCCTGGGAAAAGTGAATTTCCTATTGTCCAAAGGGTCCACTGGGAGAGAATAACCCAATGAGACTCCAGCCCAAGATGATCTTGCTTAGAGGAAGCCACAGGGTCATTTTCCACAAGGAAAATAAGGCAGCCGATACACCCTCTGCCCTCAAGGAAGCCTTTCCCTGATACCGCCTTACCCCCAGCAGAACCGCCCGCTCCCTCCTGGGCTCCCGCACTGGCCTTAGGAAGACCTTCTCCCAGACCAGTAATTAGGCTTTACTGTTCTTATTTGCGCCCCGTCTGCCCATCCCCCAAGCAGACTGTAACACGCAGAGTCCCTATCTTAGACATTTCCTTAAGGTCAGCGTCTAACATAGGGCCACACACCCCAAAGACACCCAGTAGGTGTGTACGCTGAATAAATGTGGACAAAAAGCAAAATGTTTTTTCTTTGTCCTACTTCTGTCTAGGTTTCCAGTAGACATAAAGTCCCAAGGGACAAGTAGCCCATTTTACAAGCTGTTAAGTTTTCAGAGGTATTTCTGCACCCATGTTCCCAATTATATCCCGTTTGGGAGTTCAACAGTAAACTGACTCCAATGAAGAAACTCCTCACTCAGGGTTCCCCCAGCTGCATCATAAATGCCACCAAGCAGAGGCAGGGCTATGGGTGCCGGGGAAGCATCACATGATCAGGAGGGTGAGCAGGAGGCAAAGAGGAAGCATGAAAGTAAAAGATGGACAGAAGGAGGGGAACACGGTTTGCAATCTAAAAAACAGCTAAAAACTATTTCCTGGGTCCTTTCTCCATTCCCCGTAAGGACAACTTCCTCCCCTTCCTTGAGCCCACACTGGCTACTGCTTTCAACTGGGTGAGCCCCCCAACTAGGCTGCTTTAGCCCACACGTCCCTGGATCCTCCCCCGGCCAGAAGAGATGGTTCTGGGATGACTTGGAATCCCAGCTTCTCCCAGGGTAAGTCCATTCCAATACTGGAAAAGACAGACCTACAGGCCCCTCCCTGGGAAACCGTGCTAAGTCCCTTGGAATAGAAGTTTCAGAGGACTCCTTAAAGCACCTCAACCCTGGCCAGGAGACCAGGAGGCCAGGCTTGTCCTAATCTGTGTCACAGATTAGAGTCACAGATTCTCTTAGAGGAGCTGGTACCACAACCCAACCTCCGACAGAGGCCGGTGGTCACAGGGAACCAGGTCACTGTGGACTCTGCCTGGGCGTCCTCAAGTCTTCTTCCCCAGATCTTTTTCTTATCAACATATAAGAAACCAAAAATCTAGGATGGCTCCTTCAAGCAGCAGTCACTAGACCATCACCTTTTGGTCATCCTAAGGGCAGAGAGATAAAATGTCACTATTGGAGGAGAAGAGGGGGGCTGTGGCTTGTATCTGTCACTCTTTCTTCCCCAAGAGCACCTCATTGGGATCCCACATGGAGACACATGGAGAAGGGCTGGCAGTTACAGCAGCTTGCCAGCCTCCAGCCCTGAATATTCTAAATCTTAGGCTTTAAAAAAATCTCCTCTGGAGTTTTCCATTCTGTTTGTTGTCTGCTCTTAGCTCAGTCTGAAGTCTGAATTTAGAACTAAATATATGGATCTTTGAAAATGAATTTGCTCCTTTACTGTGATGTTATTTGGTGAGGTAAAAGAGAAAACAAGAGAGGTGACTCATCCTTTGGTGAACGATGTGAAGAGAAAACACCGAGCCTTGCACTCTAATTCTTCTCTACCCACTTGCTCAAGGCTCCTGGCATAGAAGGGCAGATGGGACAGGAAAAAACACCCTGCAGCCTACTCTCAATTATCCACAAGAACGGAAAAGCAAGAGATAAGGAACAAATGAAACCCCCGGAGCATCAGAGTCTCATTTCAACCAAGAATTCCCACCTACTCTCTCATTCAGCCTTTCAGCACTCGCAGGTGTGCACACACAGACAGACAGACACACAGACACACACACAGACACACAGACACACACACACACTCACACACACACCCCAGAGCTGTTACCAAACAGCAAACCTAGCTCGACCTCACCCCCTGCTCCATGCCATCTGTGGGCACTTCTTATCAAAGAGCCAGGGGAGTAGTCAAAAGATGAACAGGAAAGAGGAGATGAGGAAATCAGGGGTCTGGATAACTCATAAAAAGTTCGTGAGAACTAATACGCTCGATGAGAGAGGGACTCAGGGAGCAACCCCGGGGCCCATCACGTGTGCTTGGAGCTCTGGGGAGTTACTTTTGCCAGATGCTGAAATAGTCTATTGCCAAGGATCCTGTGTGTTCCCCACTTTGTGGGTCATTTGTGGGAAAACGTTAGGCACCAACCGGCTTCTTGAATCACTGTTAGGATGCACTCACCCTACTCCCAAGCCCCAAAGTTAGGCACCACATGATCAGAGAAAACAAAGTTATTTTCAGGGACAATCTGAGCACAACAGACTTTAAAAGGACTAATCTAATGGTGGGAAACATCTCATAATGCTACGTCCAAGAACAATTACCTGGGAATTTTCTGGGAGTTTCTGGGGTTACCCACCCTTCCCTTCTATCTCAAAAGTGAATTCTATAGAAGCCTGACCCAGCAAGACTCTTAAGATTCTTCCTGCTAACTGAGGTGCTGAGCTGAAAGCCTGGCTGGGTCTGTGGGACTCTCACAACGTCAGCACACTCCTGAGAACAAATGGCAAGTCAGGGGAATAATCCAGCCACATGACAACGTATTTTCCAACCAGACTGGTCCCTGTTAACCAGAACTGCATTTTATAGACTTACAAGTAAGAAGGCCTGGAGAATTATCTTGCTCTTCCATCGTAAACAGACTAATATACAGTTTGACCTTGTTCTAAGCAGACCACCCCATCAAAGTGGGTCAGGGGCACAGTGACATGACAAGTGGGAGGGCCTAAACATACCTGCCATAGCACTTGAAATGGAGAGGCTTATAAAGTCATGTCTTGGAGGAGACATTAAGCATGATCCACTAGGAGCACTTCTATATTGAGAGTTAAAGTGTGTGTGTGTTTTAAATTTTTAGAAATCAAGACACATTACTCTTATTTATTTCACTGACAAAGGGAATTAATATTCCCTTGGCTACCTTGGCTAACAGGGAATAGGGGTGTGTGTGTGTGTGTGTGTGTGTGTGTGTGTGTGTGCACCAAAACTCCTATCCACAAGGGAAATGCACCAGTGAAGTAGGATAAATGAAGTGGAGCATTTTATTCCTGGAACACAGACCTGAGTGAGTGCCACTGCATCACTCTGATCTATGTCTTCTTTCAGGTTTCATGAGCATCACATGCAGACACCCAACTGGCATGTGAGAAGCATTCTCCGTTAAATCTGACCTTCCTAGGGAACAACCCTTTCATGTCACCTAAAATTGTTCTGGGGTGATGATAAGAAAATATTCTGACTCAACCAGATCACATTTTTCAGAGAAAACTTACAAAAATAACTGTCAAAATATCAGATTGCCTTCAAAGTACTATTTAGGAGTTTACTCAGTTAAAAAAATCAAACTGCCTTCCTAGATGGGAGCAAGATGACACTTAATCATGAGTGAGTCTATCGCCATGTAATAGCTACTGCACTGAGAAATCTTCAAGTCAGAAACTAGAAATCAGGGAGTCACAGATCTGCAGGAGAAAAGGAGCCTGCAGGAGGCAGAGACTAGCAGAGAGATTTGTTTACATCTGCTGTAGTCTTGAAACCAAAAGGCAGACTACGTTTGATTTATTGAGCTATAGACAGTTAAAAAAATAGGATGCACTGGTATACACAGCCTTGTGCTCTGAACTCTATAAACATGAGCGGCCAAATGTGGTAGGATTTCAAATACCCTCAGAGGACACAGCCCCTGAGGGAGCATCCACATAATGCTTTTTATTTCCCCCATCTCACCATTTAGGAATCACAATTCTGTCACATCAAGGATAACATGCCCCAGTTTGACTCTCCCCTGACCTCCACTCTTATCTCTCTGCTGCATCTCAGGAAACAGCAAGGAGCAGGGTTCTCTGGGTAGAGCTGGAAACCCAGCCGCAGAGCCAGGAAACACTGCAACACGAAGGAGCTCCCAGCCTCTTGGTTATCTTGCAGGGGATGGAAAAAAGTGCTGTGACACCTCCTAATCCCACACCTCTGGGAATAACATTTTTTGTACCTCCTGATGAGCTGTACCTCTTCAGGAGTATAGTTGTTCTAGAAATCCTGAACCATCTCCTTTCCCAGGTCCCTGGCGTTATTCAATTACATGCATGTAACATGCCTGAGGGGAGTGCTAAAATCTGTGGTCCCACAGCTGACTAAATGACCCCTACAGGGATGTTACTGAAGACTCTGGCCTCACTAATACCATGCTGCAAATGAATGAACTAGCCATAGACTTAGCCACAGAGGTAGAGATGTATTAACATCTACTTTAACGCTCTAAAAATGCTAGAACTCAGTCAAATCTAACATAGTTGATATATAAATAAGATGAATGTGACCATGAACTGCTTGATTTGGGTGACTGACATCTGACATGTGAAAACATGCAAAGATTCTGGTGATACCAGAAGTGCCCAATTATCTTCTTCTGTCTACTTGGAAAGGCTTAATCACAAAGGTATGAAATGGACTCAAATGCCTCCCTATCCAAAGCTTTTTTTCTCCCCTCCTCTTCCCTCAGTACACTGCAGAACGATACAATGCTTTACCCAACACGAATTAAAGTTTAACTCTCGATCCTTGTGGAACGATTCCCTTGGCAACCTCAAATTCTCTGTAACAGGAGTCACACTGTAGGCAAAAAAAAAAAAAAGGCATAAATGTATTTGTACGAATCAGAATTACAAACCTTTACATGAGTCATCCTCAATCGGCTGTTTGAAAGCTGTTATGTCACTAAAAGTGCAAAGAAATAAAACCACTTTGTCCTGTTCATTTCGAATTGGAGCAATTTTCACAAAGAACCACACAGGTGTCCCTGAAAGAAACAGTAAAAGGTTGGTCACTCATTTGCATTCTCATCTGAGGGGCTATGGAAGCAAAGACTTGGGCATGAATAGGTACAAATATTCATTCATTTTTTAAATGGTTTCATTCCTTCAGGTGCTGGGGTATTATACCATTAATTTCTCGTCTTGCTGGAATAAAAACTTTCATAGTAACTACTCTGTGGGGGGTTTCTTATGTTCAAATAATTTTGTAAGTGCAGATTTCCTAACCCTTGTAAAACATTTAGAAAATGGGTTGAAAATCCCTCCTGATCTTACAGAAGTAACAAAGGTACAGAGACCTAAAGACTTACCTTATACCATGGAGCGAACAAGCACAGAGGAGGGGCTGGATTGGGCACTGCTAGCCATGGCCAGCAGACTGTGAGACTCCAGCGTGCGTTGCTAAAGGGCCCCAGTATCAAAATCCATTTTGGGAATCCATCAGTTTGGCTCAAATGCTTCATCGACCATGGGCTAGAAACTATGTTTTTAAATCTCTCTCCCTAAAATAAAATTCCCAGAGGCCCAATACAATGGCAAATGACAACACCAAAAGGAAGGAAAAGGATCACCACAATGATTCTCCCAAAAATGGAGGTTCCCAGGTGGGTTTGGGCTGTGATCACTTAGTTCTTGAGCGAGCTCAATGACTGTGTTTCAACTCACAATCCTTGTTCCCCGGAAACTGATTCCGAGAGAAGGTAAAGTGACATGGATTCCATGTCTATGGAGTATGTATCTTTCCAAATAAATCTACCTTTGCTCAACTATGGTTCGCTCTTGAATTCTTTGCTATGCAAAGCCAAGGACTCTCACTTGGCAGGGCGTGCCCAGGGACTCGACTGAGGCCTGGGACACCGACATCCTCTCACACCCTTCATTCTTCCTATATCACTAGGATTGACTTTTAGAAACTCACCTGTCCACAGCTACAAATACATTCCCTGGATCAGCTTTACTAGTCATAAAGGTGATACCTTAACCTCCATTTGCCTGATCCCTGTATCTCTCTCTGATTGCTTCTGATCACTAGCAGGGAAAGAAAGTGCTATGCACTGGCCCCCTCAAACCTTAACAGTTGAGGACTGTTTCTTTAAATAGATCATAATGCACTCCAAGGGCAGGAGACCTGATGTACTTCCTCTGGTCCTGCATCCCAATTCCAATGGCATCCAATGCAGTGTTACACATAGGGCCACATGAGGCCATTACACTGCTCAACCCCAGAAGGTGCCAGCCTGCAGCTGTGAAACTCAGCAAGCTCTGGGGACGCTTGCTGAGCCTCAAAGAAATAAATCCCACTTCTAGTGTCTTCATAGTTACTCAGAACTGCCTCTCTCCCAAATTATCACTAACCAAAAAATCTAGGAAAGCAAGAAGGATGGGCTTAAATTTTCATCTCTGAAATTCTTCCAAAGAGAATATGTGTCACTCCTAGGCGACAAAGACCAGTCATTTCAACCTTTCACTTCTTAAGAGCAAAGCATTTTTAACCAATAAAACATTATCCAAAGTCTCTATATATGAAATATTTCCTTCAAGCAAATATGAACCATTCAGAGACTGGAGCCCCACCCACCTAGCTTCCCCTAAATCTCTCTGGATGCATCCAAGGATGTTCACAAACCCTTTGGCTCCATTCAGATGAAGACTGCCCAGAGACAGAGGCCTGGGCAGCTGGCCTCCAGGGATCTCCCCGAGGGGCCAGATTCTGCAGGATCCGCAGGATCCATTTCACCAAGATACGAGGGAGACGATTGCACAAATATTCATACACACACACACACACACACACACACAATCAGGAAGAGGTTAAAATTCTGCCTCCTCACCCAACTAGCTATAGTGGAAAAACAAAGAAAAGCAAGTATTTAATGTCCTATTTCTGCGAAAACAACAAAGGGTCAATGATAAATTTTCGATTAAAGGAAGATCAACACACAATCCAAGAGAAACATATCTTACTGATGGCAAAGGCTGCAGATCTTTCCTGGCTGAAGATGCCCAGTGGAAGGGCACTTCCAGGTCAGGCTACTCCTCCTGGTCACTCTAGGGTGCTCATGTTGCAGCAAAAGGGGGCACAAGATGATGGCCATGTCCAAGGTCTCCGGTGAGTCCCTGGAACACATCCCATCAAGTGAGGGTCTTTGATTTCAAGCAGGAAAGAATTCAAGAGCTGTCTCCAAAGGCTACAAGGCATGGGAGGTTGTTAGTGTTTATGGGCTGGGTAACTTCATATGCTAGTAAGTGGGAGGATTATTCCAACTACTTTGGGGAGGGGGTGGGGATTCCCAGGAACTGGGCCTCTGCCCAGTTTGTGGCCTTTTATGGCCAGTCTTGGACCTGTCATGGCACCTGCCCGAGTGCCTTTTAGCATGCTAGTATATTACAATCAGTATATAATGAAGCTCAAGTTCTAGTGGGAGTTGAATCTTCTGCCATCTTGGGCCTAGTTGGGTTTTAACCAGTTTATGTCTTATCCTCAACGACTGTGTCATTCTTTTAATGGTTATGCCCTGTCCTCTTCCCTCCTGTCTCAATCATCCCTTACGTAGCTCCCTTGGGTTATGCAGTAATGAACCTGATAAGCTAACCTGGCTGTACGTTTTCTCAGCCACAACAGTCAGACAACAAAATAGCAAGGCTCTGGCGTATGAGAGAATTGGGGCCTCCATCAGACTTCCTCCTACCCTGGACATCCTCCCAGGTGCTCTCTGTAGCCAGGCAGCCAGGCATCCAGACCACATTCAACAGCAACAGAATCCACCAAGCCACTGGCTCTTGGGAAGGGCTGCATGTGCTGGGCCATTCGGATGGGTCCAGAAACTAGACTAGAGAATGGCAGTCTGCCCTAGGAAACAGACCAACAGGTTGAGGTGAAATTCATTGAGACAAACGACAAGTGCAGAGAGGATGAGAGCGCATCAGGGGGCAGTAGTGGCCACTGGCCGTTTAGGACATCTGATTTGGAATCCCAAGCCCTGGGTTTGAACTAGATCTCTTCATTTACTGTGCACTTTGTCACTTTACCTTCTCTCGGAATCAGTCTCCTTCCTTGCAAAATAGGGACAATAGACCTGCTTTAGATTAAGTAGAAACATCTGATACATCAGTATTTAAAACTATTAATTTCCCCCCTTCCTTTCTTTTAGATTTCTCACCTGTACAGTTGAAAAGTTCCATCTCACCTCACAGGGGTGTTTGGATGACTTTAAAAGAGAAAGTATTTTAGTGTTACAGAAACTCCAAAACTGCCTCCACTTGCTCATAAGGAAAAGGGCCAGTCTCAGCCCAACAAGGGAAAAGCTAGAAAAATCAATACTTAAGCCTCAGTGTAATTAAAATTTGAAGAGAGAAAAACAAAACCTAAATAAACAGAGTTACATTATTTGTAGATGGGAAGATTCAATTTGGTAAGATGCCAAACCTCCCCATTTAATATATAAATTCAGTGTGATTTCAATCAGGATCTCAATTGTTCTTGGTTTTTTTTTTTCCTGTTTGTTTTTCTCAGAGCTTGATGGATTGAAATTCAATTCAAGTAGAAAAATAAAGGTAGAAGAAGCCAAGAAATTTTTGAAAAGAAAACTAAGGACAGGGACTACCTACGACAGTAATTAAGAGTCACTGGCACTAAAACAAGTAACAATGAAAACAATAATATTACTTTATTGAGTGTTTACAGTGGGGCCAAATCCTGACACAGCACGATTTGTTTTTGACAACAACTCTGTGAGGTGGAATGCGACTATGGCATGATCCCCATTTTAAATCTGGGAAACCCAAGTGGGAAAGCATTTTAACCAAACTTACATAACTAATAAGTTATAAATGGATTCCTGGAGAAAAAAAGAAAAGAATGTGTGAGAATTTAGCTTATTAAAAAAAAAGCATTTCAAATTAGAAGTGAAGAACTGGATGATTATAAAGAGAGTTATCAAAGTACCAGAAGGAAAAGTAGAAGAATATTTTTATTATTTAGGCAAGAAGAGCTTCCTAAGCATTACGTAAAGCTCAGAACCAGAAAGGAAAGGACCGACAAGCCTTTTTTTTTTTACTTCTATAGGGTATTTTAAAAGTCTTTAATTAAAAAGAAAACATTTAAATAATTAAAATAATTTTCAATATGTGTAGGATATTGGATCCTATTTAAGATCAACATCCCTTACATATAAAGCAGCTTCTAGCACTGAATGAGTAAAAGACAATCTGTTGGGGAAAGAGGTGCAACATGATTGTTTTCCTATTAGATTTGCTTCCACAACTAGACTGCCATCTCCTCCAAGGCAGAGTCAGTGTCTTATATCTGGATCTCTTTGGCTCAAACCCACAGGCCTGCAGTAGGTAATCAATAAGGGCTTGGCTGGCAGCTTCTCCTTGCTCTAAGCTGCCTTTCCCTGGGCCTCTGCTGCTGAATGATCAACAGTTCCCAAACCAGGGCCACCAGCCACACCATGAGTTGTGGGGTCAGTCACACGCTGAGGAAGTTATCCAGAGGGCAGACTGCTTTCACTCAGGGCTGAGACTTCTTGACTTTCTTGTTTGAAAAATGGAAAAACTAATCGACCAGCACCAGAGTGACCACCTAAATGTTTGCTGAATGAGTTCACTAATGATGACTGTCACTGATGTAAGAAAATTACCTCCCATTCTAAGAACGAGTTAAGTAGCAATACAAAATGTATAGTAACCCCAAATACCTTGGTTTATTAGTCAGACTGGCCAATAAATAGAAAGAAGTCTTTCAAATAATCCAGTCTCCAAGCTAGGTAACAGTACCCCACACACTCTTTCCAAAACACACCATGAAGCCTCCTGCTAAGTCCTCTCAACTCCGCAAAAGGTAAAATAGACATTAATGCTTATCAATAGCAGATCTTTTTTATAAAATTGTCCCTGCAAATACTAAAGAATGGGGGGCGGCGTAAGAATCAAAAAATTTATTAAGTGTTTATAAGGGGGGAGGGTAGAGCTGAGGGGTAGAGCACATGCTTAGCATGCACGAGGGTCCTTGGTTCAATCCCCAGTACCTCCATTAAAACAAATAAATAAACCTAGTTACCTCCCCACCCAAAGAAAGAGCTTATTTAAAAAATCAATAAGAAAATCACAAGAGGTAAATAGAACATATGGGCAAAGCATCAGAACAATTAACATAAAAAGGTCATTTTAAATGGATAGTAAATAGGAAAAAATACTTCAGTCTCACTAGCATTAAAAATACTCACTAAACTAAAAAAAAAAATACTTGTAAGCAATCTGATAACTTAAAAGTAATACCATTCAATGCCGGAACAGGACAATGAGTCAGACACTCATAACCGGCAAGTGAACTTGGAAATGGGTTCAGTTCTGGAACACTATTTGGCAAAATGTCTCAGGAGCCTTGGTTCACATTCTTTGATACAGTAATTCTCAACTTCTAGGAAACATTTCAGAATGTCAAGAAATATCTTTGCCACATTGTGTTTAACCAAGAAAATTTAGAGCCTCATTAATACCCAAGAACAAAGGAAGTGTTAATAAAATTCTTTCTCAATTATATTTATGGGGAATTTTAATGATAAGGATATTTTATGATAAAAGATTACATAAGTGTATGGCTTCAAATTGCATACATGTCAAAGTCTCAATTATGTAACATGTACAAGACCAAACACCAAAAAGTTAATAGTATAGTAGCATTTCTCCTAGTCTTTGAGACTTCAGGTAATTGTTTTTCCTCTTTAAGCCTTCCTGTGTGTTCTCCATAGTAAAAATGTATCAATTTAAAAACAGGAGTAAAAATAACCATTCTTTTAAGATGATGACATTTCACATTTAAAATCTCAAAGGGGTAACTCTTCCCCCATGGGACCCTACACTGCTTTAAAATGCTGAAAGTTTCAACCTGTTGAACTACGAATTGTGAAAGTAGAAGCAAACTCTGTCTCCTCCTTCCTCTCCTCCCACCCATCCATCTCTGTTCAGTCTGCAGCTCCCCGGCCATGGGGCCATCGCTGGTCAGTTCAGCCCACAGATCTCACTCCTCGGCTCAAGAGTCCTCACTCTGAATCACATACAATTCTGTCACTTAAAAATGATTTAAAATTTCTAGGGGAGGAGGGTATAGCTCAGTGGTAGAGTGAATGCCTAGCATGCATGAGGTCCTGGGTTCAATCCCCAGTACTGCTATTAAAAAGTAAGTGAATAAATAAACTTAATTATCCCCCCAAATAAATAAATAATAAAGTTTCTAAATTCCTCAGGAGAGGGTAGGATCTGGAGGAGTTGGGGGCCGTAGTCAGGTTCCCAGGAAGAAACCAACACTATCTGTGTCAATTTCTGCTTCATGTTTTATGTACAGGCTTAACCTGGTATGAAACCCTCCTGGCCCACTGGACATCTCTGTGTAAATTAGAGAAGTTCCTCCCTGAGCACTGATGCAGTTCTAGGCCAGGGTGTGCCAAGGACTCAGCAAGCAAACTGGTTTCCAGTTGTCCCCAGTGCAGGGCACGGCCTGCACCCCTATATGTGGTGGGCCTGTCTTACGCCCCTGGAAAGAATGGGGCAAGCACTGGAAACCAGGTTCTGGCTCTGCATGACCTCGGGTAAGCGATTCACCTTCGTAAGTAATGGGGATGAGTAACTTCAGCCATGAAGAATTAGAGAACCAACATTCTAAAACAGAGTGGAGTCATAAATTCCACAGAGTTTATTTTCTAATATCAAAGGGTAAGGTAAAACTGGTTAGGCCCGCAATTACTCTTTTTTTTTCCCCGAAGCATCAATTTACTTGATAATAAGTCAATTTAAATATTACTTTTCAATTGCTTTTGTACTAAAATGAACGTGCGATATTACGAATTTGACCACGGTATTCACCTAGATATTCAAAATAAGTTATGAGGCATCTAACTTCTTACAAACCCCCAAACTCTGGGGGTACTGGGGTGGGAGTAGTTTTCTGTAGGGTAAAGATGTTTCCTTTAGGAGAGTTCCAGAAGCTCTTCACCTGTCAGTTGACCTATTGTCTGTTCATGTTTATCTGAGGTTTCTCAGACCCCATCCAGGGGCTGGGCTATTGGGATGACTGGAGGAGAGGGTCTAGGGAGGAGGGGGTGGGGAGAAGAATGAGCAGGAACACAAGGGACTGCAACCCAGCAGGTGCCAGGAGGCAGGCAGCTGGAGTTATGGAAGGTTCTTGAGCTCAGCACTTTGCTGAAATGACAAGCGTGAGAGCTTGATTACAGCGGGTGTAGAAACAGCTGAGGGGGCTCTGGCCTTGAGGCAATTGGGTGGGACTCTGAGGCGCACTCCGGCCACTGTGTGACCCAGGAGAATACGGGCAAGAAGGGGCTGGACAAGAGAGCTGGTCCGCACAGCTGGAAGTACAATTACCCTTGGGAACACCTTAACATCACCCATGAAGCAGAGTCCCGGGTCCAGGGTGACATGCTGTCCGGAGGCTGGCACGTGCCTCTCTCAGTGAGCCCACCACAACCTCCAGGGAGGGAAGAGATTCAGTAAAAACACCAGTTGAACTAACTGGCTTACATGCATGGGCCACGTCCACCTGAAGTACAGAACCTGAAACACCAGAATCACCTTCAGTGCGATGAGGTGCTCGCAACCCGAGGCCTTCAGCCCCGGAGGCAACTGAGGGGACAGCAGCTTCTCTGCTCCGTCCCAGGCTCACTCTGGGGGACAAGCTCCCTGAAGAGAACAGCTTGTGGAATCACCAGCTCAGATTAAATTACGTCTCCCTCTCTCCCTTTTGTGCCAAACACGTAGAGTTGAATTGGGACAAATTAAAGGCACAGTCTGATGAAGCTTGAACACTCTGAAGCAAAATACAAAGGCAAGGCATTACTTTTGCCATACACCTTCCCAACGAGTACTCTGCCTCGTGGGGAAATCCACACTGTTCGGGACACAAAGCTGCTGGAGGGGGCGGGGGGTGGTGGCCCTGGTGCAGAGCACCTCCCCCGTGAGAAGGCCCTGCTGGCCTGCTCCTGGGAAGAGCTGGTGTTGAGTTGTGTTCCCCGCAGAGGAAGGGCTGGCACAGAGCCAGTCACGGTCTTTCACCTCATCCCTGTCAGGCCTATTTGGCAAAATGTCTTGAGGGTAGGGGGTGGGGTAGGAACCACACCTCCTGGTTGAGGGAGTGGAACGAACAGAGAAGGGCAGCAACTCCAGCATGAAAGCTCCAGAGCCAGCCCCCTGGGTTGTTGATGCCCAAAGCTCATCTCTCAGATCACCACCTGCACTGGCCCCCAAGCAAAGTGCCCGCTCCAACACTGCAGACTGAAAAAAGGTCCCAGCTCCTTCCAGGTAAAAGCAACACACGTCCTTTGCTTTCCAGAGCAAGACATTTCATTCTGAACATGGCCAACACAAATACCTGCCCTCATGTGACACCTGGGCCACTCTGGAAGTGCTCTAGTGAACCACTGACCTACCTAGTTCAATCTTACACATTATGACAGGATTCTTTACAAACCAAGCAGTGTTTTTAAAAGCAGAAACCAAGCCCTCTTCCACACCTCTGCAGCCCGGCTACGGCCGTCTTTCCATATGGCCCACTTTCCACACTTCTAATATAACTAACCTACATTCAACAGGAAACCTCTAAGAGAAAGGCAGGTTTTACTGTGTACGGCTATTGATCTAGATTCTCCATTTAATATACTTTGTGGAAGTGATTGTAGACAAAACAAATACAAATTAACACTATGCAGTGACTATGAATACTGTCTCTGACAGAAAACTAGAGTCACCATGAAACACAATTTTGTTTGAAAACTCTTAACTGGGCATCCACTGCACAGGTGTCACCTGCCACACGAGGTGCTGCAGGGAGACAGATACAAAGGTGAACTGGACAGAGATTCTGCCCCACCTCTTCCCTGCCCCCAAGAAGGCTTAAAGTCTACAAGTGCCTTAAACCAGCAACTCACCATAAGTAAACCAATAGGAAAAACACTAACTCCTGCAGAAAAAAAGAGATCAAGAAGTCTTAATTGGTTAGAGACAAGTACAAACGCTCAAGTGCGGAACAGTAACTCACAATGCACACCATTCATCCCAATACGTGCTGTAGCTTCATGGAACAGCATTTAGCCAATTGGAGAAAAGAAGATCCAAGACAGCAATGAAGAAAGAGGAGGTATTCCAGTCTTTCAAGCACATAAAGATAGGGTTCAGAATGGTCTGAATACTCACTGTTCTTCTTGTACATCAAGATTTCAAAGGAATTCATCTCATAGTTCTCAAATGTCTGCCGCACCTTTTCAATGGTGTCTTTATCAGTCAGCTCCCCATACATAAAACTGCAAATCAACCAAAGAGTCCAAGTTAGATTAACAAGTATTATCTATTCTACAAGCATATGTTAAATACCTGTTCTATACCCAGCACTGTGCTACGCCCTGTGGAACACACACACACACACACACACACATAAACACAATGAAAATTGTTGTTCAATCAAAAAAGCTTTACTGATCCAATTGTGATCAAGATCCCATCACTGTCCCCACCTAAAACTAACGATCTAATGAGGGACACACGTTAGGAAACAGTAGATCAGAAAACAGTAGATTAAAGAACAGAAGGATCAACACATAAGGAATTACAACACACAGAACGGGCACAGAGCACTGCCTGCGTGGTCGGAGAAAGCTTCCCAGAGGCAAGGACGAATAAGATCTAAAGAGCAGGTAAAGATTAGTTGAGAAAAGGAGGGAAATGAACATTTCAGGTAAAGAAGAGCATGTGCAAAGGCACAGAAGTGAGAGTGAGGTTAATTCTGGAACCTGAATGTGGTTCAGCTCAGTATGCCTAGAATATAGACAATGAGGGGAATTCTGCAACAGATAATATAGAGAGGTAAGCCGAGTCCAGATCATGGAGGGGACCACAGCATTCTAAGCCAGGTAAAGTAATTTAAACTCTATCCCGAAAGCGATGGGGGGAGGGGTGCTGGAGGGTTTTAGACAAAAGAGTTACACGATCAGTTTTGCATTTTAGAAACATAACTCTGGGAGACTTTCTGAGAAAGATGGCAGAATAAATTTGGACCATAGGTTTTTTTCTTCTTCTAATTCCCAACAAAATTAACAGAAGAATAGGCAAAATCACAAAAATTCAGCAACCAAACAAGGGATGCAATTTGATGCTCTAAACATCAAGACATAGCTGAGGAAAGAGAGAGAAGATTCAGCAAACAGAAGATTGAGCCCCTGTCTGTGCAGCTCTTTTTCCTCCTCCACTACAAAAAAGAAAAGAAAAAAAAAAAGCACTCAGTCGAAAAAATCAAGATGATAAAATTCTATAAATTCTTTCTAATTCATCTCCATACTGCTCACATTTGGAGAAAAGTCATCAGGGTAAATAACCAGCATGAAAAAAAAATCAGAGAAAATCTCTGGAGAGTAGAAGCTCCTCCCTACTGATACTGGTTCTCAGCAGAGGCAGAAAAACTGCTGGGACCATTCGTTTTCTTGGGCCCCACACTGAGTATGGTCTGAAGACCAAGGTTTGTGCCTCTAGGAATGGCTACACCCCCAACAACTAGGTAGAGTGAATCACGGCACAGGCCACTAACAACATGCGAGAGGAGAGAATGTGGCTGGAAAAGCCAGTCCTCTGACAAAGGCTGCCCATGGACCCCGGGAGCACGTCAGCTGCCCACCCCAGGCCTTTAGGTGACAATAACAGGGAAGGACAGCCACGCTCAGCCCTCAAGGATAAGGTAACGTAGAAGCAGCCACATGAGTTCTCAAACAATGCACAACTCATCTTCTAAAACGGTGCATACGGAATGCAACTGGACTTTTGTTTGATGACTTGAATTACAGAATCATAGAATTTCAGAGCTCACAAGAACCTCAGAAGTTATCAAGGACAATTCCTAAACCACCAAGTCAAGTGCCACGCTTAGCGTGATACTAGAACAGGCACGGGCTTACTGCGAGCCTCCAATTTCCAGCACCCTTTGAGAAATGTGTCCTAGCTGTTTGACTTGATGAATTCCATGTCACTTCTGTTACTATGTCCCTTCCCAGACCACGGAGAGATGTCATTATCTGTGATTCCCCGTGTGCCCTGTGTGTGCTCTGCTTTGGGGCTGGGCTCTTCATCTGTAAACAGAGAAAACAGATAACCAAGCTTGTTGAATCGCCTTTGAAAAGGATAGATCAGGACTAACTCCGCCATGCCTGAGAACAAGAGGAATGCTTCAAGGGGATTAAACTTTTAAGCTCCGCCACCATTTCACTTAGCCAGTTGCTCAAAGGCCTTTTTCCGCTTCCTCCCACTTTCCCTTTCTGAGTGGATTTGCTAGATAAGTGACCCCCATTTAAGTGCTGATGGTAGACATGCCACCAATTTCCTTCACAAGGTAAAACCAATCCTTGCAAAATGGAGTCTTCAAATAAATGATGGGCTATAAACACGCCCAGCTTTCCTTACTCTCAGGTCCTTTTTCAAGCTGTAGTTCAGTGGTAGGTGTAAGTTTCCTTTGCCTGGACATTAGATTTCAGATGCCTGCAATGCAAGAAATAAGCCAGAGAGACTCCTGAGCTATTAGGGATGTAACTGGCACAGAGGGATGTTGCCTTTATTTCTAGACAAGAGACACCTTCAGGGAATTCAATAAGTTTCTAAGAGTTGTGTGCAAAAGGAAGAGGTGGCTAAGTTAGATACTTCTCTCATGTGATTTTCTCAAAGTGTCTGATTATAGCCAATAAGAAGCAAGAAAGAGAAGGAAAGGCTGCCTAAGTCATGCTAAAAAGTGAAACTCACTCTCCCAATTTGTTCTGATGGCATGTGTGTACCTTTAGATGGAGACGCAGACACAGATATAGACACAGATATTTAAGAAGATAACAGAACACCAAGACTATAAGAGAATTCTATTGTGTTACTTAAAAGTCATAATTTCTCAATCTTTGAGGGGAAAGGGGAATCTTGAATTTTCCTTTTCCCAGCCCCCAAAACTTAAAATTTAAGAAAATGATATTTTCCAAACATTTAATACTTTTCACCAAACAAGTTGCTTGGCTGATTTAATACCATAAAAAGGCAACTTCTGAGAACCAAAGACTATGCCTGGGTCAGGTGGGCTTTTCCACTCTTTGAACATGAGTTCACTTTTGGATCTAGGATGTTTAGGAAAGGGATTCCACTTCATGCCAACATCACTGAAGACACAAGACTCTGAGGAAGGTGAGGAGTGAGAGGAACCAAAGGCTGTGGAGCCCAGACCTCACTGGGGCAGCACAGGGCCCAGGCCACAGGCTCAGCTCAATACCCTGAAGATGATCTAAAAGAGCTTTCCCAGTGCCATGGCCCAAGGGTGCTGCTTGGTGAGTAACGCCACCAGACACACAAGCCACGCAGGACCCTTTGCCTCTGTCTTGAGTCAGCAATCAGAGAGAGATGTGACAGCAACAAGGCAGCAAAATATGGTTCTCTTTTCTTTTTCTGAGAAAAAGCCCTATGAACAAGACCCTTGTCTCCAACATAGCAGTTAGCCTTCTAAAAAGGTCATACATTTTTTTAAAAAAATTAATTGAATCACCTAAAAATTGTAATTCATTTTCACTTAATTTTATTTAATCTTCTAACTTTCACATAATTTCCATCTAAAACCTTAAAAACTCTTTTTTAATTCTTATCTTTTTATTGAAGCAGAGTCATTTGCAATGTTAGTTTCAGGTGTACAACAAAGCGATTCAGTTATACATATACATACATACTATGTATTTTCTGTTTCTTTTCCATTATGCTCATTACAAGAAACTGAATATAGCTCCCTGTGTTATATAGTAGGTCCTTGTTATCTGTTTTATATATAGTAGTGTGTATCTATTAATCCCAAACTCTTAATCTATCCCTTCCCCCTCCCCCTTTCTCCCCTGGTAACCACAATTTGTTTTCTATGTCTGTGAGCCTATTTCTTTTCTTTTCTTTTTTTTTTTTCACTTAGTCTATTTCTGTAAAACCTCATAAACTTTTGATTTCACATTTTATTGATAAAATGACTTTCCTGAGTTTTCCCCATCATCTGACTGACTGCTAGTTCAACAGTTGCAGGGATCATGTTTTAGGCCTTCTTTGGTTTTCCCAGTAGAGTGTGTCCACTAGAGGTGATATTGCAATAAATATTCCTTCCTGAACACTGTGTGAGAGAAAGGAAATTTCCAAGCTGAGTAAGTCATTTTTTTTTCCAAAAAGATACCACGAAAGATGGTACGACAAAACAACCCCAAACATAAATACCTGCAGGTACTGCTTTTTTGCATCACTTCCGCCCTGTGATAGCCAGACAGCTTGCAAAATCCATCATTGCTGTACACGATAGGCCAGTCCACTATCTGGGCATTCCCCAACACAAAATTAGTATCTGTTAAAAAAAAAAAGAAGAAGAAGAAAAAGAAGAAGAAGAAAAGGGCACATGAGGCAAGACATTAGGTGAGATTCAATGAGGACATAAATAATAACCCACCCAGGTATTTTTGCTTCCCTCCAAAATAGTCTCTTGAACAGAAAAATGGCCCTGTGAAGAATACAGAAGAATAGAGCTTAAAGTTGAATATTTGGAATGCCAGTGCTAAGGTTACTGTACTCTGAGAGGAAGTTAGCAAAGGAAGCATGCTTAACCAATCAACCAATGTTTTCTGCAGAAACTCAGTGATTTCCATAAGACATAGTCAAGTCATCTCAGGAAAGTATGCTGGCAATGTGGAGCAAGAAGGAACCCAAAAGTAATTTCTTCTGGGTCCCATCTGGCATCTTAGCCTTGTCAGCCTGTTGGGCAGAAGCTACAAATGGGCCTTGTTCAGCCTGATTAGTGTTTGCCGATCCCAGGAGGAGAAGGCTTTCTCAAAGAGGCAGAGGAAGGGGAACAAGAGGCTGCCTCCTGGATCACACGCATCGGAGAGAGCCTTCCTCTCAGTAAGGAGGTGACCAGACCCTCCTAATACTCGAGCTCTGTAGAACCTGATCAAGATGCTCATAATGTGGAGGGGAGAGTATAGTTCAGCAGTAAAGTGTGTGCTTAGCATGCGTGAGGTCCTGGGTTCAATCCCCAGGACCTCCATTAGAATAAATAAATAAACCTAATTACCTCCCCAAGCCAAAAAAAAAAAAAACACACAAAAAAAAGATGTTTGCAATGCCAAAAACCTTCGTACTGATTTTGAAATTATGGAGCCACAGAAGGCACATTTCGGAGCTCTTTCACAGAGCACCAGCCCACGTTCACTTGTGATGTGGGGATTAAGTAAGCCAGATACGTCTGGCTGTTTAGCGTGTTCTCACCACTTCCCACAGTTTTAAAGATCAAAAGTCGTCAGTACTCTCTGTGCTCAGGAAATCAACTATCCCTCTTTTCTTTTCAAGAACTTAAGTTAAGCAAGATAACACCCAGAACTTGAATATAATCATAATTTTGGCTTGGCTCTCTCTTCTCTACAGAATAATCACCACTTCCCTACCCCCACCCCCCAGAAAGGAAAGAAAGGACATACACACACCCTTCTTTTGTTATTAACTGGAGGGGGTTTTGTTTATATATGTATGCTATGTAGAGTGAAATAATGGTGACATGTAATGCCCTCATTTAATTGAAAGGTTAATTTTGTTCTAATACAGCATTTACACTTTATTCACAATATGGTCAAACCATCCTTTCCTATCTATGTGGGAAGGAATAGAGGAAGGAGGAACAGCTAAATACAGTAATCCCTTCTTGAGAATGCTTTGATAAATTGAAAAGGCACAGAAAAACATCAGCTTCATGAAGTGAATCTGTAAACCTGCTAATCTTATTAATATGCCTTTAATAAAAATCTCCAACCAGTCCTTCCCTCCGTCTCTCCCATACACACATAAGTACTCCAAGTTCTCACTAAGTACCATGCACAATGCAAAATGGGACATTCAGCTTGATAAGATATGGTCCACGCCCTCCGGGAACTTACCAGGGCAAACAGGCACATGTACGACTAACTAAAGAAACACAGAAGAAAATGATTAACTCCGTTTGAGAGAGGTAAAGGACTGTGTCTCCGAGGGCCACATTTGAACTTGCTCTAGTCTGGAATGATGAGTAAAATTCGTTTAAACATTTTGAATGCCTAAGATATAACTATCACAGATGATATGAAAACAATTGATATAGAAATAAAAATATGATGCTTGCCTTTGGTGAACTCAAAAGGCTGTGGAGGGAAGGGAACATTCCAGGCAGAGGATGGAGTGTGAGCAAAGGTCTAGCAGCGTGGGACACAGAGCAGACAGATGCAGACAGACAGGGCAGCCAGGAACATGGACAGGAGATGAGCCTGGAGACCAGACTGGGAAGGGTCCAAGGAGATTTGACTTTATTCTGGAGACAGGATAACCCTTCATGTTGGTCTCCTCTCTCTGAAAAAAACTCACACTTCTTGAACTGAGCACCTAAGCCTTAAAAGAAAACAAAACTCACTGAATTACCCCTGAGTGTATATGAAGTCTAGTCAGTTTAACTAAGCTCTCTTGTTGATGCTTGAAACTGTAATTAATTTCCTTCAAAAGATCTAGAATAGGAGGGGGAAACTGAGTGAATGTTTTCATAGCTAATGCCCCACTAAGACTATGTGATAAGAGATAAGAATATGGATTATGGTTTGACTCCGTGTGTTTATATTTCTTCCCTATCCCAGGCCCAACTGAAATAAAATCAACAAATTAAAAAGGTAAAAATCCATACACCTACATACACAAAATAAGAGTGAAAATGAGAGAATAAATGACCAGAGAATAGATAACTTTAAAAAAAAACCCTAATTATTATCCTTAGAAAGATTCGAGAGATAATACACCCATAAAACAAAAACAAGATTCTGGGTGGGGGTGGGGAAGACACATAGGGAAAAAATAAACAAAATGAGTTCCTGTAAATTAAAAATGAGTAACAATTAAAAATCCAACATAAATGTTAGAAAACAAAATAAAGTCTCACAGAGTATAGTATAGAAAAAGGAAGAGATTAGAAACAGAAGGAAAAAATTAGACACAGTAGATCAGTCAAGAAGAACAGCACATAACCTAATAAGAACAGCAGAAAGACATATGTGGAATCTAAAAAAAAAAAGGGAAAAAAAGGAACTATGAATTCATCTACAAAACAGAAATACAGACTTGCAGACATAGTAAACAATCTTATGGTTACCGGGAAAAGAGGGTGGAGAAGGGATAAATTTGGGAGTTTGAGATTTGCAAATGTTAGCCACCATATATGAAAATAGATTTTTTTTAAAAGTTTCTTCTGTATAGCACAGGGAACTATATTCAATATCTTATAATAACCTTTAATGAAAAAGAATATGAAAATGAACATATGTATATATATG